GAAAAGTTATAAAAAATCTGGGTTTGAATCGACCATGGTTGATGCTAAAAAGATTGCAAATGAATTAGAAATTGAACCAATATTTTGTGAAAACCAGGTTATACATAGAAAGAAATAGTTTGATGAGATTTCTTATGAAGAGATAACACAAATAGTTGAAAAATCTTTTAAAAACAATTATTTCATATATATAGTAGATCAAGCTCCATCATCATTTCAGAATAGATTTGAGCAATTTCTAAAATATGATGATATTTTTGAATTTTTATTTGATTTGAAAATACTTAAATCTATTGATGATGATAGTTTGAAGTGTTCTTGTATTAACATTGAAAATTACTTGAAGCATAATATGATTTCTGATATTGATGAGGTATAATTATTTTCTGAGTTGAAAGTTTAAGGAAAGTGATACCTGCAAAAATTATTGGAGCAATTGATGTGTTTGATTAAATTAAGAGAATGAACCGTTGTTTTCAAATGCTTGGATTGCTTATAGAGTATCATTGACTATTCTTATAACAGTTGCCTATATTGAAAGAATTTTTTTAAACTTGAAATTGGTTAAGTCTTATTTTCGATCAACCATGTCATAAGAGTAGGAGTGTCTAAAAGTCCCGAACCGAAACGGACCGAATCGAGCAATTTTTCATAAATTAAATATTCGAATGGGTACCCGAATCGAGAACCGATAGGTTTGGGTCGGGTCTAGACCAAGAACCGAAGAATCGAATAAAAACCAATTTTTTTTATATTTTTTATATTGAATTAATTAAATTATTTTATTTTTTTCTAAACAAATTAGCAAATTGATTAAATAAATCAGATTATTTCATAATTTTAATTTTAAAGCCCAAATCATTTTTAAAACCCATTAGCCCATTTTAATTTGAAACAAATGAATATATTTTATGTAGTGTTGCTGTAATATTAATATCTACTTTGTGGTATTTGTATGCATTGAATTAATCTTATTGGACAGTTAGTTATTTATATGTTTTTGAATTGAGTGACATTAATTTGTAAAAGTTACGAATGAAATGTCATTAGTTGTATTTACATAGAGCGTGTCTGGTTCCCATTTTCAACAGGGTGCAATTGATTTTCTAGCCGTTTTGTTTGACTTTCTCTAACACACATTCAGCCCAAATTGTGAAAATGCTACCGTTGAGTGGTCCAACGGTCCAAAACTCACTTTTAATCCAAAATTTCAGTGGTGCCAGATAGGCCCATAGTGTGGCTGTAAATATTTAAAAAATTAATTATGGTACGGAATCGAATTTCCGTACCGAGCTCGAACGGTTCCATAATTATATTTGGATTCGACGGTTTCATTTATTAAATACCCGAAAGTTTTGAGTCGGTTCGGTTCTCTTCAGAACCAAACCAAATCGACACACGGACAACCCTCCATAAGAGTGATTGAATGGATTAACTATGATTTCTATTGAAAAAATTATTTGGAAAAACTTGATCTTAGTAGTTTGATTACTGATTTTACATCTCAAAAGTTAAATGTTATGCTAGCCTAATCTCTTGGGTTGTGAGAAAAGTTTTAGTTTGTTACTCTATCTTTTGAATATAAAGTCTTCTTTTTAATATAAAAGAGTTGATTATTTAAATATTTAAATTTTGTTACACTTGTGAAAAAATGATTATGATGGAGTCTCATAATAATTAGTCATGTAGGGCTCTAAATTCTTAGGGTCGGCCTTGGGTGAAACATAATATCTTTCCTTACAAATTAAAAAAGTACAAGGTTATGCATATAATGCATATGTCCCATTCGTTTAATCAAAATTCCCTTGTTTGGGTTGAAGAGGTAATCAAGTTTGAATGTAATTTTAAGTGCATCCAAACACAGCCGCACCATGTTGTGCCAGTATTAAACAACAACTTGTTAACTGACAAAAACTGAAACGAAAATCTTATTTGGGTAAATTCCAACTGATCTTTAAGTGAGATTTCAATTGAATTGTTAAAATTTTAATTTATCTTAATTGATCCCAAAATTTAGTTTCAATTGAGTCATTAAACTTCAAATATATTTTAAAATTTCACCACACCTTCACCTAGTATACAAATTTATGAAACTTGATTAATTGACAATCAGGCCACAGTAGATCTTGGCTTTACTCTAGGCTCAAAAAAAGCGTTCAAACAAAAAAATAATAATAAAAAAATCGGCTTTTAATCTTTTATTTTAGAAATACTGTCATAGCCCTCTTTACCATTTTCGTTTTTAGGTGTAGTAACAATTACGTTAAATATCAATTACGATATGACTATCAAATTCTATTAACTTGAGAGACGTGAGCGACATAATATGTGGAGTGTAATACTTATCTCGTCATACAAAGATATGATTGCTTCTATATTCACATATATTAAAAAAATGTAATTAATATACTTGGAACAATAAATTCTACGTTTATGTTTTCTAATATAAATTGAATAACAGTTTAAATAAAAGTATTTTATTTTTATTGATAGCGTTGCACATTAAATAGAGTATATTAGAAAATTAAGAAATTAATTATAATCTTAACAAGAAAAAATTTGGGATATACGAAAAATAAAAGCAAGTCCATCTTTATAGGACGAAAGGGAGTACAATTAAAAATTGAAGTGAAGTAATCACTCAATTGATAAAACTTACTTAACCACTATTTAAGCTCCATTATTTAATAACTTATTTTTTTTTCAAACTCATTTTTAATCACACATCATCACAATAAAATAATTTTGAACATAGATTTAAATATTTTTTACACTTTTTAATCACACCTTTTTCAAAAAAAGTATTATTACAAAATCTATTATCCCAAAAAATAGGACTTAAACAAAATCTCAATATTGTTCTATTTATTCCCTCGCTACCTTAGAGTTGGTTAATTATCTGAATGGTCACTGAACTATTCAAATGTTACTATTTAATAGCCGAACTTAAAAAAAATGTATCCCAAATAGTCACTGAACTATGTACCTTGTTACTCATCTATTTTTCAAGTGAAAAAATCCGTTAAGTTCGACAAACGACTTTGACTTGAACGATTGATGGATAACACAGTACATAGTTCATTAATGATTGAGACGCAATTTTAAGTTTAACTATAAGTAGTAACAATTTCTTCTTTCCCTCAAGTCGACCTGTGTAAAAGAAGAAACCAAAGAAAATGAAGGGGAAAAAAATCAAAATTTCAAAATTGGGTATCACGGATTTCTACAAAAGATCAATTTTTCCAAACTCGTTATCTGATATTTTTACTACAGATTGCATTTTTGGTAGTGGGTAGTTGAGATTTGGGCAAAAGATTGAATTTCGCCTAGCGGGGTATCTCATTTAAAAAAAAAAATTTGAATTTTTGAAGAAAGAATAATTTTTTTGAAGTGGTAGTTGAGATTTCCTGTAAAATATAGATTTTTTAAATTTTAGAATCAGAGGTTTCTGCAAAAGACACTGTTAAGATTCATATGTTTCTAGCTATTTGAACGGTGACTGAATTATACAAATTGTTATCATTTAGGGTGTGTTTGAGCCACATTATTTTGGAAGAATATATTCTGAAATAGTAGATTAATGGAGAATTTGTGGTTGAAAAAGAAGGAAAAGTTATTGATGTGATGGAAAATATTATTTTATTAAAAAATATGTGGTTGAAAATGAGTAGAAGAATGAGAATGAAAATTTTAATATGTACCAAATAGAGGCTTAATAGCCTAACTTAAAATTATATTTCAATACTCACTTAACTATGTACCATGTTATCCATTTATCACTCAATTAGGAAAATTCATTATGATTTTAGTGATGAATATGTAACATGGTACATAGTTCAATGACTATTAAGATATAATTTTAAATTTAATTATTAAATAGTAACATCATATAATACTATTCAAATAACTAACTCCCCTACCTTCATACATTTTCTTGTTCACACAAATTGTTCACGCTTCCAGGCACACACAAAGAACACGAATTCAGAGAGGGACCAAGAAAAATCTAAGCCTTATTGGCTTTGATTTTTGCCTTTATTTTTTCATTTTCTCATTGATGTAACATTCACGTACACACACCAGACCACGGACCACCGTATATACAGAGAGAGAGAGAGAGAGAGAGCTGTTGAACCCGTAAAGCAAAAGGGAAAAAAGCAATTTTTGAAAATAACCCAATTGTAGAACAAATATACACGTACGGGGTTTAAAGAGAGAGGAGTTTTATATGCTCTGTGTGTTTCTTCTGAAATGGGTGATGTGATTAGATTATCCTGCAATTCACTGACTTTTGGTTCTTCGTTTGTGACTACATTTTCTTCGTCATTGAATTCTTTTCAACCGATTCTTCCACCCAATCAAAGGCTACGTAAAGGGGTTGTTTCTGTTTCAGACGTTTCCTCTGTTACTGATTCTTCAGTTGACTTTAGACCCCGCAAGCAATTGGCATCTTTTAAGGTAAGGACTCAACTTTCTTAAATGAATTTTTTGATATGGGCCTGTATTTATTTATTTATTTATTTTTGCTATTTTCAATGGCTGACGAAACATAGAAACCAATCGAGAAAATTTGTCTGATGCTTTCTATTCTGTGCCATTTACTTGTGGATTTTTACTTAATTGAGTTTAGATGGCAGAAAAATATTCTTTTAAGACTCATTTAGTTGTATTTAAATGGTCTGAATTAAGATAAAATTAGTATATATGTGAATTTATTTGCTGGTGGTTCTAGGTTATAGATGAAACTTTACAGACCCATTATTTGTTAAAGTAACTCAATTTCTCATATGTTAGTTAAGAGTATTTGAATATATATTGCTTGATTCTTATATGCCAAACGATTTGCTTGTCTTAGTTTTTCACAGGATTACTAATTGAATCTTGCTCTTGTATTTTCTACATGTTTTTATGTTTTCAAATTTCTAGAAATATCTCATACCTTTTACAATATAGTATTCTAACATGGCCAATAGAAGCTAAATGGTAAAAATACTTACAATGATTAGTACGCTTGATCCAGATGAGGTTTTACTGCTGAATAGTTGAAATTTTCTTCGTAGTGATTGGGCTTCGCAGCACAATCCCTTTGGTGTGATCCTGGGGTTATAACATAAGAAAGGAGTATGGATATGATTAGCTTATCTTTTAGCTTTCAAATTTCGTCATAGGATATAACCGCTTTATCCAAAACATAGACGAAAGAAGAGGGGGAAGCTGACAATACTCAAATAATTATCGATTTGAGCAAGCATATGGGAGAGAGGCTACTCAATAGCATGAAGAGGTGATAGCCTAATTAATGAACTAGTGAAACTCACTCCATTCTATAGCAATTGCCGAGAAAAATCGAAAAATAAACTGAAGGAAGTGAAATAAGCTTTTGACTATGCTTACAATGGGTCTGACACGAGCAAGGAATAGCCCTGCCCACCTTATGAAAGAAGCCGAACCCTCAGTCTTTGCTCTCTCTGAGTTGAGTCGAAACTTGTTTCTTTTTTTCATGTTTGTAATTTATGAAGTTTGAATGTCTAAAAATCAATAACGAGAAACTAGTCCCTATTCTCGAAAAACTTAGGCTGGCTTGTGAATCTTTTTGCTACAATGCTTGATCGAGTTCTACGTCTACTTAAAAGTTTAAAAAATCAAGAGAGGTTTCATCCAGTTAATTGTTGTTCATATCTTTATCTTCTTCAGTTATTTTGGTAAGTAGTGACCCTTAGCTATATGATTAGGCAACATATCTATAATGATAAGGCCTCGTGCCCAAGCCATTATATCTGTTGGGAGTATCAGGATTCAACTTAAGTCTTTCTTAAGAGGAGGTCGTGTGTTTGAATCATGGAGAATGCGACAGAAAGGTGCGAGGGGTGTAAATATTTTAGCTGAATGGATTTCCATTAGAGATACCTTCAATTTTATAGTTACATTCTACAATCTAAATATGATAATCTATGTATGGTACAAAAATATACACGTAAGAATATCCTTGTAATCTCCGACGTAATTTTCTTCAATCTTGTTAATATCTCCCTCAAATTGATGCTGGAAGATCGAGAAGTATCAATTTGCTCACAAGAAACTGATTTCGTTGTCGAGTCTCGCCTTGGTAAATATGTCACAGTCTAAGCATCAATTGTGATATGTGGAAGTGTAATAAGACGACCATCATAAGCCTCACATATAGAATGACAATCCACTTCAACGTGTTTAGTTCATTCACAACAATCTGAATGACACTACTGTTGTCGGTATAAAGAGGATTAGGCCCAAACTGAGGACAACCGAAGACCCTGAAGCCAAACAATCTCAGGGCAGGCAGAAGACATAGGACGATACTTAAGACTCGGTGGAAAATTTAGAGACACGATCTTACTTCGCTATGAAATGAGCGCACTCCCAAGAAACGTACACCAACCTGTAATCAAGCGATGAGCATCTACACAACAAGCCTAATCAGCATTACTATAACCGACTAGCTCAAAAGGAGAATTGGCAGGAACGAAAAGGCCCTTATTAGGTGTACCCAGTAAATATCTAATACTACGACGAACTATGACCAAGTGGAGGTGTCTGGTGTGTGCATAAACGGCAAACCTGCTAGACAAGAAAAGAGATATCTGATCGTATAATAGTGAGGTAATTTAAACTACCTTCCTTGTGATATTTCACATTCACCTCCAAAAGAGTATCAACATATCTACTATCCTGAAGCCCAGCTAAGTTGATCAACTCCTCTGTATACTTGTGTTGATGTAGGTAAGTCCAAATTGGACTCGAATGCACCTCAAGACCTAAGAAGTATTGTAAAGGGCCCAAATCCTTCATATGAAAAGACTCTTTAAGTCCGTCTTGAAGGTGTGATATCAATAAAGAGCCAATCCCTGTAATAACTATATAGAGGTGTCAAGACGGACGGGCCGGCCAAACTCGTGAAAACCGGCCCGGATCGACCCGGGACCACGAGCCGACCCGTGACCGAGTGGGCGGTTCACGAGTCAAGGAGGTGTGACCCGCGGGCTTTGCGGGTTGCACCTTCACGGGTCGCGGTTAACTCGCTGACCCGTGAAAAAAATTTAAAAAAAAATTGAAAAAGACCAAAAAAAAAAAAAAACTAAAAAATAA